ATTCGTACATTAAAACGTACGAATTATAAAATGACTACGGAAGGCAGAGCTATATCTGTTAGACTAGATGTTGTTTTTCGGAGAGATTAGTCAAAAGGCAGTTGGATTAACGTAACTTGTTGTGTAACAAAAGAACAAAAAAGTGCACAAAGATTACACACAGTCTTCTCTCACAGAAGGTCGGCGCTAGAAAGGGGAGAGTGAAACGAGGTCACCTTGCCCAGGGGTCAAGAGCGCCACCAATCTTTTATTACGTCAGAAGAACATTACAAAACATCGCAATCGTTGATTCCAACAGTGTCTACATCGTAATTCTAAGAAATTTCCTTTATAATATATGTATATATTTGTGAAACTACTGCGTGTCTCATTTTTACTAATAGGGGGTCACTTTCGCACGAAAGAATCAAACTACGATCTGTTCATTTCTTTTAAAATTTCGTACGTGAAATCCCGAACACAGTTGTGTCTGTCCTCGGTTATACTATGTTGTACAGTACACTGTATATGTATATTTAATATTGCAATTTCATGTCTGAACATATTTAAATCTTCGAATCTATTCTCTACGTTGTTTCAGTTTAACGAATGCTTTCGTAAAAAGAATCACAGCGTGCAAAAGTACAACTGCTCTTTAAAGCTTTCTGTAAAATTTCACTCGAAATTTCTGCAAATCTACGTGAAGTGTCTTGCTTCCGCCGAATTTGTTACTTCGATAATCTTGTTGCGGGTTCTTGTATTTTTAACGTTGGCATTTCACCGTTCTGAAAACTGTTTCAAAGTTATCATCATATTTTAGAACGCTCCGGTGGCTTTAATTTCTACGAATCCCGTCTGGTTTAAGTTTCTTTGATGCTCTAACATGTTTTCTAACATCCAATCAACATTCTAGTCAGAAATGTAGACATTCTGACCCACAGCAAAGTTTTATTCATCAACTACTCGATTAGCCGATGTCAATCATTCTTAGAACTCCAATAGTAGTCGTTCTACCTTACAAAAGACATTTAAAACACATCTATAATAGTATTGTCGATTCGATAACTTATTGTAACGTTTAACATTCTAACATTACAGTCGACCCCCTATAACACTGTTGATTATTCCGTTATGAATTCCATGTTGTACGAGTAACTTAGATTTTACAAATACGTGAGCCGTTCACCTCACGTATTTGTAAAATCTAAGTGACTCGTACAACATGGAATTCATATAAAACGGAATAATCAACAGTGTTATAGGGGGGTCGACTGGTACTATATTTGGTCATGCACCGATGACTATTGGAACATAAAAAATAAAATTCTATTGCATACTTTTCTGAAAGATGTTACAATATTTGTAAGATTACTGCGTGTGTAACGCTGAATTAGCGGAATATTCTTTTTTACATTTTCTTTTGTTTCATTCTTTCTCCTTTTTTTCCCCTCACCGTAAAAGGTGCAACATTACGTACTGTATATAGCCTTATTTTTATTTATTTTTTGGCTTGCAATGTGTTTTTCGGAACGTTACCCCATCCTAAGTCGAGAGACTATCTTTATATAAAAAGCATAAACGCTGTAAATTTATATATAATTTATGATTTTTATTTATTTTATTATAATTTATTTATTCTATATTATTTTTAGTTTGCTCTGTTAGAGAAAAAGACTTATTGTGTTTAACTTTCTGATGGGGTCAATTACTAATTATGTCTTCGGGGAATATACTCTTTGTAAAACCAACTCGTGTATATCCCCTCTTACATAGGCTACATCTTGGTGCAGGTTATTTCACACTCCAGGAAGACAAGGAATTGTTTATCTCTGTCATATTAGATTGTTTATGTTTTATACATCAATGTATATTTGAAAAAAGTCATGTTTATCATATTCATTTGTACAGTGGTACCTCAGGTTACGAACGCCCCAGCATACGAAATTTTCAGGATACGACATGAAATTCGAACATATTTTTGCTCCACGATACGAACAAAAACTCACCATACGACGTTACATTAGTTCGCATTTTTCATTTGTTTTTCTTACTACAGTTATTTTTTTAA